TTGGTTTTGAGGCTTCACAATCTGATACTAGTCCCTTTATAAAGCATGATGGCACTGATATATTCATTCTTCTTCTATATGTGGATGACATCATACTCACGGGATCAAACTCAGTGAAAATTTAGGATGTTATTACTAAGCTCAGTGAAAATTTTGAATTGAAGGACATGGGAAGACTAACATATTTTTTGGATTGCATATTCAATATAGATCAAATGGTGAGCTTTTTATATCTCCATCCAAGTATGCAAAGGAAATACTCAAAAAGTCAGGAATGAAGAATTGCAAGCCATCACCAACTCCATCAAAGCCTCATACTCAGTTGTTAGTTTCCTAAGGCACTCCTCTTGCATATCTAAGTTCTTATAGTAGTATAGTAGGGACGTTGCAATATCTAACCTTCACTAGACCGGATATTGCATACTTTGTATACATGGTCTGTCAATTCATGAATAACCCCACTGATGCACATCTATTTCTGGTTAAACGAATCTTGAAGTATTTGCAAGGAACTATAGGCTGTGGTCTTAATTATACTCATTCTGATACACAAATACATGCATACTCTGATGCAGATTGAGCTACAGACATTAATATCAGACGATCTATAACTGACTATGTGGTATTTTTGGGAAACAACCCTATTTCATGGCAGTCAAAGAAACAAACTTCTATTTCTAGCAGTTCAACTGAGGCAGAATACAAGGCCTTAGCAAATTGTACTGCAAGTGTGTGTTGGATTAAATTCATATTGAAAGATATTCATGAATTTCTTAGTATTCCTCCATCACTACATTGTGACGATATTTCTGCATTTGCCTTAAGCAGTAATCCAGTCTTCCACTCTCGAAGAGTTCCAACACTTGAGGCTCAAGCTTATCAACAACCTTCTTGAAGTGGATCATTTAGTTGTAAGCAGCGATCAATTCTTCATCCTTTGCATAAGCAGCGGAGTGGAGCTCAACGACAGCACGCTCAAGGTCTTGAATCTGATGTATGCAACACCCGATCTCCATTTCTGCACTTTCATACCTTACTTGGACCACGCCAAGCCTAGTCTTTAAATCCATGATCTCTTGGCGAGCGGTCTCAAGCTACAGAGAAGTAGGGGCAAAGATATTAGACCTTTTTCAAAGCAACAAGCTCAGATTGCAACTTCTTGACTTTTTCAGCCGAGAAGTAAGCTTTAACTACCACAATTCTTGCTACCTCCTTGGCAGCCTTAGTATCCTCTCGATCAAGAAGCATAAACTCAGCTGCCAGAATCATCATTTTCTGCATCATGGCCAGCAGAGCAGTCCTCCTATACTCGGTCGTGTGGTTCATAAAAGAACTTGGGCCAACAACCCCTTTGATGCCATCAACAAACTTGGCACATACATCCATGTCCTCAACATATTTGGTTTCAAAAGTGCATAATCTCAGCAACTTCCCCAGAAACAGACTTGGTGGATTTCTCACGACTGCTTACATGAGCAGCTTATTTCTTCTCAGCAAGCCAATCGATCTCAGCAGTAGAGGAAACGGGTTTTGGCACCACTTTAGCAAGCAGGGGCACCTTGTCATTCTTCATAGTAGCAAGTCTCTCCAAAGGTGAACCAGACTTAGCCCCAAATGAATGTTTTGACATGAATTTTGGTACCAGATGCACAGATGAACTTCTACGATGGGCAATCCTATTAGCAATCGAACTAGTAGCCTTCAGAACGACAGGCGCCACCGACATAAATCTAGTAGCCTCATCTTTCTTGCCTTTGGAGGAAGTCAAGTCAATCACAAGCATAGCTGGTAAACCCTCGCAAGCAGTGGAAAAAGTCTTAGGCTTCTTCTCAGCAAGGGTCTCTTGAGTAGGCGAGGAAGGTCTCTTTTTCCCACCTTCATTTGCAGCAGGCTCCACCACAGTAATAGGACGAGCCAACGCCTCAGCCTTGATTCGTTTTATCTCCTCTCTCAGGGGCAGCTCACATTTCTCCTTACGAAGAGGACTAAGCAGCCAATGACACTCACAGTACTCGGAAGGGATACCTAGAGCGACATCACTTCCTTCATGTCCGGAGAAGTCTTAGGAGTTGAGTCAAAATCTGAATCTAAAAAAAGCAGCAGAAGACAATCAGAAAATTGAATAACAGCTTAGCATAAATACCTAACTCCATTCATATGTCTTATGTCAAAGAAGTACCAAAATTCATTGACTGTTAGATCTAAGTCAAAGAATTGGCTTAGATTGTGGAATCCCACCATCACACGAACCGTATTCAGAGAACATTGAGCAAGGGCACATTTTATGGAGCAAAGCACTTCTTGGAAAAAACGCGGTATAGGAAAAGTAAACCCCAACACAAAATAATAGAGGTGGAACTTGATGGCTCTCAGAGCTCTATCACATGGCTCACGATACTACCATCTTTAACACACTTCACGCGCACTCCCGATGGAGTGGCATGCTAATATGCCTCAAGGAAGTCTCTAAACAATTCATCGAAGCTAATCTTGAAGTGAGCAACGTTGAAGTAACCAACCTTGCTCAAAAACCCGCCTTGAAGGTACAATGACGGCACACCATCATCAATCTTGTGGTTCGAGGAAGACATGCTTGAAGAAGTTCTACAAAGACATGAAGAAGACTCGTTAGACGACTACTTAAAAAAAATAAAAAAGGAAGGTATGACACAGCAAGCCCCTCGCCCAAAAGGCCTATTGGCCATTATCACATTTCCCCCAGGCACGGGCCCTAGCCCAGCCTTCAAATAAAAAAATAAAAAAAACAACCCGTAGGCCACGGCCTATTCCTCTCCTCCCTCAAGCACGGGCCTGAGCCCAGCTTCAAAAAAAAAAAAAAAAAAAAAAGGGATGCCCGCGCCTCACCTCTTGGCCCGTCACCAACGGCTCGAGCGCCAAGCCTAATCCTATGCCTTACTACCTGGCCCGAGCCAGCCATGCACCACCAATTTTCGGCCCGAGCTAAGTTACCCTCATGCCAAGGCTACCCCACGGCAGCCTTTGAAACCGTGGCTTTTCAAGCCACTTTCTCACACTTCCTCGACCCCTGTCGAGCCAATTTCAAGCCTCGAGACTTCCAAAAATTAAGAAGACAAGAAAATTAATTTTTTCTTACCTAGAAGCAACAAGAAGACGAAGCAAGCAACGAAAGACAATCTTTTGCACGGGCAAGATGTAGAAGATTGCTGGAGGAGGGGGAACAAATATCCTCCAAGCTCTCTCTCTCTTGAAGGGTAGAATAAATAGCTCTCCAAAGTTGATTTAATAACCCACTTAAGGTGGACTTAAATAGGCTTTGAGAGAAATTTATTTCCCTTTCCTAGAAGGATGTAATTTCCTATTAAAGAGGGAATCTACATCAAAATAGGAAACAACCTAAGTTTCCTAAAGCAAGGAAATCTCTACACCTGTTGCCCTTTTCTGCGAGCAGCCCAACAGGTGTGGGGGCATTTGTGGAGCCAAAAATAATCAAGAGGCAACACGTGAATTTTTTGGTAAAAATGACAAATTACCCTCGAGGCACACTGAGATTTCTACGCGTGAGTAGTGGGCAATCATCCCTCAACCAAGTTAAAAGTTCCCAAAATAGGTATTAATTCAAAACCTAATTCATCCATCCTCATCAAATCCTCTCCACAAGGTAACCCCCAAATCATTCCTTTTTAATTATATTAATTAGCTAATTAATTGGTTTATTATTCAATTAATTTACTAATTAGGTACAAATCAAGAATCTAACCCAAAAAGCCATCCAAGTGGCCGGTCCATCTCCTCCTAAGGGGGCCGGCCACACCCCTATATAAACACCATCATTCTCTCTAAAACTCAATTCCAATTCTCATCCTAAACTCTCTAAATTCTCCAAACACTTATCTTTCAAAATTCTAACTTTGGCATCGAAGGTTATTCGGCCAAAGCCCCCCCCCCAATTCATCGTGGGCGTGTGAGGCTCTTGACCTTGACCTAAGGTGTTATTTATTTTGTAGGTGCAATTTTGTCCAATAACAAGGAGGAAGAAATTTGCATCCACAGTTAGTAATGGGCAAGGTGAAATTTCTCATAATCTCTCCGGGCCCCGAAAGAGTGGACAACCGTGGCTTTGCACTAGTTGTCCCCCCTTTTAGGAAAAAATAAATAAATAAATAACCATTCTAAGTTATATTTGTAGTAGATAGGCTTTAGATTACAAAAGAATCCCAAAACAGTAAGAAAACCTTGAAACCCCACCCAAAACCCATTTTACTTTCTGCACCAGGAATATAAATTTATCATCGTCTGCTCGTGCACTTCGGGAGTCACTCGAGCAGGATTTCAACTACGCACTGGCTGCTCGTGACCGGGGAGCGATTTCTTAAAGAGTCCCATTTTCTCGTTGGAGTTCTTACTTAGGAGCTCCGAGCTCTTGTTTGTTTGCTTATTAGCTAGTTTTTCCTCACAAGTCAACAAACCTTTCTTTCCATCGAATATTTTTTTCATTTAATTTTTACGTACATGTATAGTCGAATTAAAATATAATAATTTTTGAAGTTGTTCTAGCTAATTATAGTCAAGAATAAGATAAGAAGAGTTTTAAATAATAAATATGAGAAAATGCGGGGAACCGCAATTCTTTTACATTTCACACGGCGTATGTCATTTGACACCGTGATGAAGTGCACAGCCTAGGATCAACTAGGAAGGACTAGTCAACTGATTTAGACCAGCCTTATCTTCCTATAAACTTAAATATAAATTAAACAATAGCCCTGCAAATGTCTGAGAACTACAAAAGGGTTCCATTTTCTTCAACATGCTATCTTCTGAGTTGCTCCTGTTTATTTATTGAAACCCAGATCAAAACTTTCATTTGTTTTATGCTTTATTGATTGTTTTCTTTGTGGTTGTTGATTATGTGTCTATTAGAGTCTATTGATATCAAAATCTTGGAGTGCTAGTCGTCTAAAATTTAGCTGTGAATCAGAAAACTAAACAAGCACAAGTTTTCCACATTGATGCTGTTTTCAAACATTTGGAGTGCTGATAATGTTGAACAAAATGGACTAATCATTTGATAATCATAAGGCTTTGATTCTAAAACCCAATTCAGTTCAAGAATACACAGACCATGGGGGAATAAAAAAACGAATAAAAGAATACATATATATAATAAAGGAATTGGTGATACAAGAAAATGAATGCTGCACATGAGAAGAGAGGATATATGATCATCTGGATTTCTGGTCTCGCTTTCAAATTAGAACCTGGATTGCTTGCATTCAGCTGGAAGGCCTTCCGGGAAGCGTTTAAAATCAGAGCAGTAGTTGTAGATCATGAACTTTTGTTGCACCCAACGAAGTCTTTTTCGGCCTGCGGCATCAATCCCTTGAGTTTCCCATGTACTCTTCTCTGTCAATGGATTAGTAGGTATGGTTGAGGCACATGAGGATGATGATCCAGCAATACAAGCATTGGCCTTAAAATTTCTGTAAGTGGCAGTGAAAGGAGCTAGAGTCCAATTAGTCTTGACAAGGCCACCTCTTGTTGCCCATTCGTCGGCATTCCAAAGACTTGAGTAAACCCTCATGGGCTGGGTTTTAGGGAATGGGACTCCAGCTGATTCCAAATTGTTGAACACTCTGATCGGAATGCTGTCCACCAAGAATCTGCATAACGTTTCATATGCATGCATTAGAAAGTGGTTTATATAATTTGTGATACTGTCAACACGTCCGCTCACGTGTGACATCTGACCTAAAAAAACTGGTTAGTTGTGGGTGTATGCCCTTACATAATGTTTTGTCTGTTCCAAACAATTGAGTAGGTGTGGAAGGTCTTTGTGGGATCAAACCAAAGATGGAACTGTTGTTCTCTGCCTCCTTTTCCTTGGCTGAATACATTTGTATGGAGAGTGTAGGGTTCACCAGTTGAATTACCCAAAAACTCAAAGTCAATCTCGTCATGAGTCAAACCTTCAGAAGATAACTGCATATATATACATTTTTGTTTCAAAAACTACCAATGCAATTGCATATATAACAAAAATGGAACAACAAAATTGAGACTACATCAATAATGGAAGAGTTTAAGTTAGGGCCAATATCTGCGTTGGTTAGCAGTGGCCAATTAGTCCGTCTCTCTAAAATCTTCACAGTAAGGATTGAGAGTACTTACATAGTAGGTAGTGACAGTTCCAGCTGAGTTCCCAGGCACCAACTTGATTTGCATATCAATTCTTCCAAATAAGTACTCATTCTTAGATTTGAAACCAGACCCAGAAACTTGATCAAGGTTGAGTGTGAGAAGCTTTCCTCTGTCGAGTATCTTAGCGCGTCCATCGCCAAATGTAATGTCAAAGTCTTGATAGAAATTTCCAGCTTGGGCAGCCATGGCCATCAAAGAATTTATGAACAAAGAAAGAAAAAGTATCATCGAAACCTTAGACGAATAAGACATTTCTAGTAGTAGAACAAAAGACCAAGAGAGGTAGCAAGAGAAGTTTAAGCAGCTGCTTTGAAGGGAAATATGATGAGTGGTAAGGCTGTTTGGGTTTTGATGCTATAATTTGAGTTGTGAAGCCCTTTATATAACTAGTATGCCGCGTTGAATAGAGCTGGCAGTATTTAAAAAATTAAAACCCTAATCTTAAGCTCCCTTTGCAGAACTGGGGGAGGTGTGCCTGGGGTTTTGACTTATTTGCACTGCCAAAGTTGATGCAATACTGTATTATATTGTACAATATAATACAAACTAGATCGCTGGCTGGCTGGCTGGAGGCAGATTTGCAATTTGAGAATAGAGGCTTAAAAGAGAAGCAGGAAGCAGCACAAGAAGCCAGATGCTGGTTATGACATGTGAAGGAAGAGTTGATCGGCTTGTGAATCATTTTTAATTAGTTTTTGCAATGTCTTGATTTTGGAGCTACAACGTACATTTTGGTTGTGGCGCTTAACATGCATACTTTTACTTGTTAATTAAGGTCGTTTGATAATTTTTTCTTTTTCAATTTTCAGTTTCTGTTTTCAGTTTTTTGAAAATTGAAAACAAAAGATAGAAAGCTACTTTTGATAATTATTTTTATTTTTTTTTGCTTTTCATATGATTATCACGTACAAGTATAAGTGAATAAGATAAATATTTGCTAAATTATATATATATATATATATATATAAGAATAAGTTTAAATAAAAAATGATAAGGGAAGTATAGAGACCGTAGGGCAATGATCTACATTTCCCATGCACGGCATATGAATGGAGAACATAGTTTGAGATCAACTCGGAAGGACTAGTCACATGTCATCTCTCTTTCTCTCTCCCCTTTCTCTCTCGTTATGAAATTTTTTTAATACAATACCAAACATTTCCTCAGTAACTTGGGATCAGTTCGAGTACTGCAACCCGTGTAGATACGTACAGTAGAAAACTCCATCCAAAATCTTGGTTTTTGGGTCAACCCTGCTAAAACGGTTCAGGTTTTATAGCTACATGTCGCGTTGCACTTTGCGAGCAGAAGGGAAACTGCATGTAAAGATTTATTGTGTTTTTACTTTCAACTAAATTATATAATAATGCATGTCAACTGCACCAGCCAAATTGTATTAGTTCCAAAATCAGCAAATTATTAACAAGCTGATCAACTCTTCCTTCACAATATGCCATACTTAAAGTAGTATCTGCCTTCCTATGCTGCTTCCTGCTTCTCTTTTAAGCTTCTATTCTTAAATTCCAAATCTGTCTCCAGCTAGCCACAATATTTATATGTATACCACTCTATAAGAAAAGGGATTGAAAAAAAGGGGGATTTCACATCCTATCAAACTTCAACGATCCAAACCGTCTATTTTCAAGTTACACTTCATAAATTATCCTTGCAAAATTTAGTCAAATTAGAAATACTTGAGGCATCTAATTGAATTCAAATAAATTGATGAACACTATGTTCTAAGAAGCATTGGAATTTCATCGTGATAATTTAAGGGGCAAAGGGTTTCATATTTTATTGAATTTTTGTAATGATGATCTATAAATCGTGAGTTACCTAATAGACGATTCAGATTATTAAAGTTTAATATGAAATGAGTTCCACAATTAATCCTCATTTTTTTTTTCAAAAAAAATGAATATCCCTTTACTTAAATTACCTGTATATATACCTAGTTTATGTTATTACATATTGTTTGGCATTAGGGTTGGTCACCCACCTCCCCAGTGCCACCTTTGGTTCGATCCCGCAAAAGCCTTGCACACCTATTCGATTATCTGGAACAGTCAACGCATTATGTAATTAGTACTACATGCACTAACCTTTAATTAATTTCTTTTAAGTCAGATGCCATACGTGAAGGGGGTGTTACGTATGGATAAACAACTTTCTAATAATTGTGCAAATGTTACGTAGATTCTTGGTGGACAAGATTCCAATCTGAGTGTTCCGCAATTTGGAATCAGCTGGAGTCCCATTCCCTAAAAACCAACCCATGAGGATTTACTCGAGTTTGGGGAATGCAGATGACTGGGCAACAAGAGGCGGCCTTGTCAAGACTAACTGGAAGCAAGCAACCAAGGTTCTAGTTTGAAAGCGAGACCAGAACCCCGATGATCATATATCCCATGTTCTCATGTACAGAATTCATTTTCTTGCATTCAATGGCGGATCCAAGAAATAATATTATGGGGGTCAGTAAGAAAAGCACGCGCAACGCACAATTTTTTTTTACCAGAAATAGCATGCATATCGCCATTTCATCGAATCTTGGTAGCCTGAAGTCATTTGGAATAGCATACTGCACACCTGTTAATGCCTCATTTACGAGGGTAACTAATATGTTCTAAGGCTGCTCCCATATGAATGCTTAACAAAGAAACGTACTTATCTTGAACACACTAACAATGTTTGATATCATTGCATTCCATTAATATGTTTGTCCAAGAATGATGATGCTTTGTTATTCACTGAGATCACCATTTCATTTACTCTTCTTTTAGACATTTTATCAAACAGTTGGAGGGCATGTATGAAACCAACTCTAATCTTCAAAAGGGCAGCACCCAAGGTATCCATGGACATTCACCGAAGTTTGAGGGTCAGCACCCAAGTATCCACATACGTTCACCAAAGTTTGGAGGATCAGCTGACCCCCTGCCCCTCAATACATCTGCCACTGCTTGCATTGCCACTTCATGTAATATTTATTCTTTCTGAAGAAAGTTGAGACCAAATTTTTAAACCAAATGATGTGTCACCAATAATAAATAAGTACGTTAATTAACACTTAATTAATAATTCAATCATCCACAACCACATCATTTGATTTGCAAACTTAGTTTTAGATTTTTAATTTCTCTAGCATTACCCTAAAATTATTGGCAATATGAGGTAGTAACTCAACTCCTTATAAACTCTTGTTTGGTTTCTCTTTTATCGATATAAGACTTTTTACCTTCACTTCCTCGCACTCTATTTCCTTTTGCAAATAGGCTTTTTAGCCAAAATGGTCCCTGAGATTTGCATAACTCCTCACTTTGGTCCCTAAGATTTCAAATCAATAGAAGTGGTCCCTGAGATTGTCCACCATCCATCATTTTGGTCCCTCCCTTAAAAACTCCGTTAAGTGTTCCGGAGCTCTTGGCCGGAAGTTTGGGCAATTTTCAAAACTTCATAACTCAATCGTTTCTTAACCAAATTCGACCCATAATATATCAAAATGAAGATAGGAAAGTGTAGAATAAGAGTATACCATTTGGAAGCCCAATGGTTGTCATAGATGGTCAGAAAATAGCCTCAAAGTTGACTGGTCCGAGAGAAAACTGGAAAACTCACCAGAAACCAGGTAAACTTTAAACGTTCATAACTTCTTTAATACTCAACGAAATCAAGTGATTCAAAAACTAAAATCATACTTCTCAACGAGAAGAAGAGAATGGTACCTTTTTTGACAGCTAACTCGCCATGGTTTGGCCGAAAAACAACTCGAAAGTGGCTAACTCGAGACCAAGACAGCTCGAAAGTGGCTAACTCGAGACCAAGATAGCCACTTTCGAGCTGTTCTCCGGCCAAATCACGGCGAGTTAGCCATTGAGAAAGGTACCATTCTCTTCGTCTCGTTGAGAAGTATGATTTTCTTTTTTAAGCACTTGATTGCGTTGAGTATTGAAGAAGTTATGAATATTTAAAATTTACCTAGTTTTCGGCAAGTTTTCCAAATTTCCCTCGGACCGGTCAACTTTAAGGTTATTTTCCGACCATCTACAGCAACCATTGGGCTCCCAAATAGGTATAATCTTATTCTACACTTTTCTATCTTCATTTTGATATATTATGGGTCGAATTTGGTTAAGAAACGATTGAGTTACGAAGCTTTGAAAATTGCCCAAACTTCCGACCAAGAGCTCCGGGACACTTAATAGAGTTTTTAACGGAATGAGCAAAATGATGGATGGTGGACAATCTCAGGGACCACTTTTATTGATTTGAAATCTTAGGGAGTAAAGTAAGGAGTTATGCAAATCTCAGGGACCATTTTGGCTAAAGAGTCTTGCAAATATAAGTTCATGTAATAATTAATTTTCTTTTTGTCCATGGATTTTTTATTCTTGCTTGATGGAATTTATAATCGATTACTTAATTAACAAATGATAATATAACCCGGAGCAAAGCCATGGTTAAACCCTAAAAAGAAAAAAAAAAGAAAAAAAAAGGGAAAAAAAAAGAGAACTCTCAAGTTTATTTCATAAAATTATAAGAAAACTAATGATTATAGCTTGAAAACTTTGAATTTTAACCAAAAACCATGTAATAACTTTATTTAATGATTAGGACAAAGATCAATACTAAATCATTCTAATTAAAATGGCCGAAATATTGAGTTTACGATTTTATCCCTAACGGCAAGCTTTTGTCCGTTAATCTCTCTTCATTATGGATCTCTCTCATATTCTCCCCCCCATTTTTTCCTGACATTCAAAACCTTCCATTTTTCTATCACTATGTAAAAACCACAGCTTCGATCCCAAACCTAATTTTGAGCTGTCTCCATCTCTATGAAAATTGGAAACGATCTCTTACAAGCTAAACGGTATGATTTTGTCACTCTCTCTCTCCCTCCCTCCCAAAATTTCTCACTCTCTCTCTCTCTCTCTCTTCTTTGTAAAGATGAGCAAGGGATCTGCACTTTCACCAACATCGGCAAAAAAACCAAAGGTGAATTTCTACCCTTCCCTCCTCATTCATCTGATTATTAACCTTTCAATTTGATGAAGAAGAAAAGAAGAATTCAAGGTAGTGTTTTTCAATTTTTCATAGTGTATTCGAGGTATTGTTTTTCAATTTTTCTGCTTTAGTGGAGTTCATCGTTTGTTTCTCCAGAAAATAAATTTGAGATTTGTTAGCTTTTTGTTCAGTTTTTTTTTTTCCAAATACAATGTATTTTTTTTCCATATACAGTTTTGCCAACATTTTTTTTTTCCAGAAGCAATGTTATTTTTTTGTTTTCCAAAAACAGTGTTATTTTGGTTTTTTTTTTTTTCAGATACAG